AAAAAAGGCATGAGTGAAATCTCAGAAGGAGAAGAGAAAAATAATGGCAGAAGCAATAGTGTAAGAGATGACAATTTAGAAAYGGCCAAAATAAAGAATTCTGTGGTTTTTGTTGTTGTTGTTTTTTGTTGTTGTTTGTATTCTGACATTGAATTACTAAATAAAGGCTTAAAGTTTGAAAAAATCCAAAAAGAAAAAAATAAAAATAAAAATAAAATAATAAAAAGAGCAGGGATGTGGCTCAGTGATGATTAGGTTTAATCACCAATACACAAAGAAAAAAAATAGAATCAAATTGCCAAAAATGAAAAGCCAATGGTATTAGAAAAAATATGATACATCAATCACAGAAAGACAAAGAAACACAGCAGATTTCTCATTAGAAATTATGCTAGTAAAAATAAGTGTTATCTTTAGAATGTTGAAAGAAAAAAAAAGACTGCCAATCCAGAATTCTACCACCAGCAAAAGAAAAAGACATGCAAATTAGACACAAAAGAAATAATATGGGTAAAACAAATCAATAGTTTGAAAACAGAAAAATAATAAGAGAAAGTCAATGAAACCCAAAGCCAATCCTTCAAAAAGATGATACATTTTTGAACATGTAGCCAGAAAGAACAAAAACAAAGAGGACAGAATCAACAATCCATCAGGAGGGAATAGGGCCACACTGCCATAGAACCTGAATATATTTAAAAGATAGGAATATATTACAACTACGTTTTTACTACAATTTTGTACACATAAAATTGACAAGATGAAAAATCCAACAAGCTGGATAAATTCCTTGAAAGTTGCAAACTACCAAAATTCATACACTGGTGATAATCCTATTTATTCCTCATTGAGACTGTATCTATAAACTCTGTAAGTCAGACTGCAAACACTTTCGACTTCAGAAATATACCTTATTCAACCAATGCCTTTTCTTTCCAATATATAAATGGAGAAAAAAAATTGCTGTACTTACTGGAAAAGGTTATTGTGAAAATTAAATAAAGAATGTGTAAATTGTTTAGAATACTATCTCATACATTGTAACTCTTATATACATATTATTATATTTATAAAATTCAYCGTTAAGTGAATAAGCCAGACACTGAAAGACATATATGCATGATGGTACTTATACATGGAATCTAAAAAAGCCAAATTATRTAAACAGAGAAGAGTTATTATTAGGGGATAGAGATGGGGTAAACTGCCAGCTGTTGGTGCAAGGGCATGAATTATCAATTAGAAGATAAATAATTTTTGGAAATGACAAAAAGTCCAACAGTCTTGCTAATAGTGTATCTTAAATTTTAACAGCAGGTTAAAGGATGTTTGTGTTACTGTGCTTCAAAACTTYCATATATCTTATAAACCTTTGTATATGTAAGATATTTCAAAATATAAAATTAAAATATAATAAGTATAATCTATATTATTCTTAAACATGGTAAGGGTAGGTTATAGGGGAAACCAAACACATGAATGTGTGTGTGTRCTTATATACATTTGTGTAAGCATTCAGAAAAGTGAGAAAGTTGACACACCAAAAAGAGATAATTCATCAGAGGACTATCAGGGTTAGAGTGAGAAGTACAGAACTTTTCAGAAGATATGCATTATTTTGTAAATGAATACTTGAATAAGAGACAGACCGACCAAATCTAAGAATTGTCCCCCACATTTCACAACATATCTAAACAATTGAATATTTTTCCCAAAGGAATATACAACTAATTACATAATCATATAATTTCTTTGGTTCAATTTTAGTCTAACTATCTTTAGAATATTGAGTAAATAACTAAAGTGCAGTATACTTTAAGCTACAGTCCAAAGGTGCTTTTCTCCTTTACAAACTGTAAGAAAATTAAAGCTTTAGCTGTTCTTTCTGAAATAAAAGTGATCGTATGATTAATAAACTTCAAAACCTGGTAGACAATGAACTATAAGATGTCACAATCACCAAGTTAGAATATTAGAATTCCATGACAATAGTTTTTATATACATAAAAAAACACTGTATTGATGTGATTTATCCTTACCTGGAAATAACCACAAAGTAAAATAAAATACTGCTTACTCCTAAAGGATAAATTGAATTACATACTATACTTTGTGGTATAAACTGCAAACAAAACCTGGCCAACTTAGAGAAGAAAATGTTTCAAATTTCAATTTCCAAATCAAAGAACCAACAAACACAACAGAAAAATTCAACATTTAAATGCTTCTACTTTTCAACTTAACAGTTTCAATACCAAATATAGAATGTATTTAAATTATAATTTTATATTATATGCTGCTATTAGGGAACAACAAAAACAAAATGTGATTATATTTTCAGTATCAAGTGGTTTTACACTTGAACCATTTCACTGATTTAAATAAGTTACCGCTACCAAAACTCTTAGAATTTCTTTTACTGACTTCTTCTGATTCCGTGAATACATGTACAACTGTTCCTTCTATGTTACTGTAATGAGGCAGAAGTTATATCTGATATTTTTATCTCCCACAAAACCCAGCACAATGGCATCTACCACATAGTCACTGACTACAGGATAGTAGATAACTCACTTTCAAAGAACCAAAAACACCTCCCCTAAAGAGATTAATTCTTTAAAGTTSGAACTATTTAGGATGAACATTAGTATTATGAAAATGAACATCCCTCAATTAAATAAAAATATAAATTAAAACATGTTACAAAATAAATATTTCCTACAAAAGCCTCTTTAGGAAGACTGTGAATAATTATACTTTCCTTAATCTATGATAAGTAATATAATCTTGGAGATTTTAATCCACAGGTATTATCTCTAATCTATAAATGGTTTTTTAAAGGAAAGAAAAGGAAACTAATTTAAAAAAACACCTTTCCTCTGAGGATATGTAAAAATGATTAGGTAATTCATCAAACACATCTTTAGTATGAAATTCATTAGTGCATACTACCAGCAAGAGAATAAATAAAACCATCTAGGGCTGGGGAAGTGGCTTAAGCGGTAGTACGCTCGCCTGGCATGCACGGTACGCTGAGTTAGATCCTCAGCACCACATAAAAATAAAATAAAGATGTTGTGTCTACCGAAAAAACTAACTAAATAAATAAATATTAAAAAATTCTCTCTCTCTTTAAAAAAATCTAATTTATATATATATAATTTATATATATATATAAATATATAAGCTTTTATCAAATTAGAAATTTAGAATAAAATTAAAATATGCATTTAAACTAAAATATGAAGGTGAATAGATAAAATGGCAAGGAAGTCAGATATATAAATTAATTTGTATATGAAGAAACAATGTTTTTTGGAACACAGATGCTTAGAGAACTCTCCAAATACCTCAATCTTCTGGTATGTTTATGTGGAATAAAGAAAAGTAAAATATAGTAACACCATCTAATGGTAGACCTATCCAGAAAGAAATTACAAGAAAAATAATTGAAGAAATAGATAAATAGGTGAGATATAAGTATTGTTTTTTAGCTCTGAGTACATTTCAGATTCATCTTTTTAATTATGATAGTTGAAATAAAATCCTACCTGAAACAATTTTTCCTTTTGGCCCATGCCATTGGAATGATGGATCTATCAGTTCGGAATTTCGCAGTCGTTGGGTTACACATAGCACATGTGGACTCTTTTGATGGAGCATGACATATACTTTCACTGAAAATAAAATATTAAAATGTTCCAATAATATTTTATGTTCTTTCTTTCTATATGTGCCTTATATTTTTATAGACTAGGTAACAATCTTTTGCAATATTTCTTTGGATTATTTTTTTCTATTACTTGATGATATGAGCTAAATTTCACTGCAACTATGTAACTAACATTAAAACAACACAATGTATCTTGTGTATATGTGTGAGCATCTGTGTGTTAGTGAATATGTTTGTGTGAGCATGCAAGCTTATGTCCTCAACATGAACATAATGCACTGGTACTTTTTATTCAGAGCTCACATATACTGACTATATCCCTCAGAGTATAACTTAAATTACACAAAATTAATATGATTCTTTATCTAGACTTGATGTGTATTATAAAGTCATTAAACATGAGCAGAGGTTATAAATAGTTTAAATTGGAGGAATAATACATTATTCACAATGATATAACACAAACCACTGGATAAAATAATCCACAGACACTATCTCTAACCCATAAAAGTAAACAAAAACATGCTTTAAGTTTAAATATTAAGCACTATGTCCCATCCTGCTTTAAAATTTAAATAATTATGATGAGTAAAAATAATACTCTTCAGAAGATAAAAAAGGAACACTGTAAAGATTCAATTGTTTTTCATTCACTCATAAGTAAGCTTTTAGAAAATGCTAACTCTTCACTGATTCACCATATGCAAATATTTTTGTGATTCATTAAAATAAAAATTGTTAGCCAGGCACTGTAGTGCATGCCTATTATACCAGCAGCTCTGGAAGCTGAGGCAGGAAGATTGTGAGTTCAAAGCCATCCTCAGCCATTTAGTGAGGCTTTAAGCAACTCGRCAAGACTCTGTCTCTAAATAAAATTTAAAATAATAAATAAATAAAATTAATATTGTTTCTGAAAATGAAATTTTTTCTTAACTTTAAAGAAACTGCCTTTAAAGTTTTGCCATAAAACATGATGTTTCTTTAGGGAGAGGGAGCATGGGAGAAATAGATGAACTCTACATAGGGGAGAAGGGTTGGAAGGGAAGGGAGAGGGTATAGGGTAATTAATGATGGTAGAATGTGATGATCATTATTATCCAAAGTACAGATATGAAGACACGAATTGGTGTGAATATACTATGTATACAACCAGAGATATRAAAAATTGTGCTCTATATGTGTAATAAAAATTGTAATGCATTCTGCTGTCCTATATAAATAAAAAATAAAAATTAAAAAATGATGTTTCTTGAAAGTACATTCACATATGTATATCCCTTTACAGGTTCTGAAAACTCCTAAGTGATTTGTTTTTATCATAAATTGGTATTGATTTTTAAACTTTTTCTATATGTTTGAGGTCATCATATAGCTTATTCCTTCTTGAACGAATTTAAATGAATCCTTGATATTAAAAGTTTACTTTCTTAAAATAAATGAARTTGGTCATGCTATTTTACTTAATTATTGTTAGACATAATTTACAAACATTTTCTTAGGCTCCTTGCAACTATGTTCAAAAATGGAAATGTGTGTAATTTCTTTATACTACTCTTGGTTCTTTTATCATTTTAAGCATTTATTATGATATATTTCATATTCATTTTCAATATTTATTGTAATTAAGATGAATATCAGATCTAAGATTATAATGGCCACATGAAATGAACTGGGAAGACTCCTATCTGTAAATTTTTTCTGAAGGAATATGTAATTTATTTTCCTGGTACATTTTTTTTAAAAGAGAATAGGAAAAAATTTTTTGCATTAACAAGGCTGAATTTACTTGGTTATAAGTCTACTAAGTAATTTACTGGAAGCTATTTTAGAAATTTATATTTAAACTAGTTATTAAAGTTATTACAATAATATTTTTTCAGATTGTAATGATTTTTTAATTTCACTATCTTCATTTGCAACACTTTTTTGTACTTTATTTTCTCATAAAAAATTTACCAAAAATGTATCTATTAACATTTCCAAAAAAAAGTTTTTGATTCCATTAAACTGTACTACTTTATTGTGGTCTCATGAATTTCTGTTCTTCTTTTTCTGTCCTATTATTTCTCAGCTGAAACTTTTTTGTTCTCTTTTCTAACTTCTTGAATAATCACTTACCCCATAAATTTTCCCTCCTCAACATCACATACTGGCTTCTCTCTTCTCCAATACCTATTTTTTTCAACCCAGAATTTATTTGTATTTGGTATGAAGCATAAATCTAAGTTCCAATTCATAAATTTTTGCCACTCTTTTTCAATGTATCTCACCACACCTCCTTTCACATTCTCTTCCTTAACCAGGCCAAAGCAGTACTGATTATCACTCCTTTGTGATTTTATTCATGAAAGTACCTAATGTCTCATCTTTCGAAAATCAACACAAATATGCACAATTTTACTTTGGCTCTTTGATAGTATMCATGCCATTATTGTAATGGCACTAATTTCCACTAAAACTCCACTACACATTTCAATCACAACAACAACAGGTGAATCCAAAAGAAGTTCCCAATGAAATGTCAACGTACAAAAATAAATAATATTGCTGAAAATCAACAATAATACATTAAACCATGTTACTAGAAGGGAGATAACAGAGAATGATACACTGAAATTATTCTGTAGTCAGATAAGACCTTTGCAAGGAAGATTTTTRGACTCTAAAAAAAGACAAAGTTACTCACAAAGAAATCATGGGAGAATACACATAATTTTTAATTGCCAAGTTATGGATATGTATATAAACATACATAYATTTATTTAATTATATAATCAGTTTCCAGAAATTCAATTCTTGAATACTGACTCTAAGATGTATTTTGGAGTTGAGGTTGTAACTTAGTGATAGAGCACTGGCTGAGCATGTTCAAGAATCTGGGGTCAATCCACACCATACATGCACAAGTGTGCATACAAAAACACACACAAACACAGTATTTGGAAAATTAAAGSTTTATGAATGTCTAAAACTTCTATAAAAGGGAAGAGGAGACACTAACAATAAAAATTATTAAGAAATATTATGAAGTTATACTAAATAAAATCATGGTATGGTTTAAGAACAAACAGTAGTGTTTCTAAGGGAAAAAAGAGAAGTATAAAAAACTGATATCTGATAGAAGTATCTCATCACTGGAAATAATACAGGTTAATAAATGATGGCAAAAATTCATACACACACACACATATATATATATATATATATATATATATATAAAGTTGAATTTAGATTTATACCTCATACCAAATACAAATAAACTCTGGATTGACTAAAAACCTGAACACAAATTATTATTTAAGTAGATTGTTAAAATAATACCTATAAAGGTATTATAATACTTTGCATTATAAACTATTTTCTTTTTTAGCAAGCAAATTAAAATATTTAATTGTGCAATGCTTTAATAAGATGTCAGATTTACTCAATGACCAAATTACAATCCATATTTCAACTATGAAAATAACAGCATATTGTATGCCCCAAAGATCTTTCTTTGGCATTGGACCATCATCTGTGCTTTTGCTTTTAAGGCATCATTGGTAATGAGCCTGCATTTACCCCTACCTATTCTGCCAATAACCTTTGAGAATTATCATGTAAATTGCAGAAGTTTGTTACTAAGACAATGAATTATAGAATACAATTTTAGAATTGTATTCTATAAAGACTGTAGAATATAATCTTTCTTTTTTGTTGTAGATAAACACATACTTTTAATTTATTTTATTTTTTAAAATTTTTATTTATTCATTTTTTACATGAGCATTATTATTATTGTTGTTGTTGTTGTTTGCATTATAATTCTTAATACACCTTTATACCACAATTTATCATATCTGTGTATATAAGATATGTTGACACCAAATTCACATCTTCATACAGTATTTTGTATAATGATGAGGGTCTCCTTCCACCATCCATGCAATTCCCCTTCTCCCTCCTTTTCCCTCCCACCCCTCTTCCCTATCTAGAGGTAATCTTCCTCCCATGCTCTGCCTCCCTACCCCATTTTAAGTCACCCCCCTTATATTAGAAAAGACATTAGGCATTTGTTTTGTGGGGATTGGCTAACTTCACTTAGCATAATCTGCTCTAATGCCATCCATTTCCCTGCAAATGCCATGATCTTATTGTTTTTTTTAGTGCTGAGTAATATTCCATTGTGTATAAATGCCACATTTTTTTATCCATTCATCCATTGAAGGACATCTAGGTTGGCTCCACAGTTTAGCTATTGTGAATTGTGCTGCTATAAACATTGATGTGGCTGTGTCCCTGTAGTATGCTGTTTTTAGGTCCTCTGGGTATAGTCCAAGAAGAGGAATAGCTGGGTCAAATGGTGGTTCCATTCCCAGCTTTCCAAGGAATCTTCATACTGCTTTCCAAATTGGCTGCACCAATTTGTAGTCCCACCAGCAGTTTATGAGTGTACCTCTTCCCTTGCATCCTCACCAGCACTTGTTGTTGTTTGTCTTCATAATGGCTGCCATTCTTACTAGAGTGAGATGGTATCTTAGAGTAGTTTTAATTTGCATTTCTCTGATTGCYAGAGATGATGAGCATTTTTTCATATATTTGTTGACTGATTGTATATCCTCTTCTGGGAAGTGTCTGTTCAGGTCCTTGGCCCATTTATTGATTGATTGTTTTTTTGGTGCTTATCTTGTTGAGCCCTTTATATACCCTAGAGATTAGAGCTCAATCTGATGTTTGAGGGATAAAAATTTGTTCCCAGGATGTAGGCTACCTATTCACCTCAAATATTATTTCTTTTGCTGAGAAAAAACTTTTTAGTTTGAATCCATCCCATTTGTTGATTCTTGGTTTTAATTCTTATGCTATAGGCATCTTATTAAGGAAGTTGGGGCCTAGTCACACRTGATGGAGTATAGGGCCTASTTTTTCTTCTATTAGATGCAGAGTCTCTGGTTTAATTCCTAGATTCTTGATCCATTTTGAGTTAACTTTTGTGCATGGTGAGAAATAGGGATTCAATTTCAT